AAAATTATAAAAATAAGAAAATAAAAAAAACAATTCAAAAGATGAATGTATAAAATAAATGAAGAAGAAGTAATAAGATAAGTGAAATATAAAAGAATATATAGATTGAAAATTATTATAAAATAAAAAGAAGAAAATATTAAATCTATAGAAGAAGAATATAATAACAAGAATAATAGGAAAAAATGAAGAAGTTATAACAGAAAAATAGCTAAATGCTCAAATATTTACATAATAAATTAATGATAAATGATGATAGAAGAAAATAGGATAGCAAATAAAATGAACATGAAATGATAAAAAGAAATGATAAAAAGAAATGAAAAAGAATATGAAAGAATTAATAAGATTGAAAAATATTAAGAAAAGAATAAAAATATAATTAGAAAGAAACAAAAGAACAAGAGGTATAGAGAAATGAAAAGAATAATACAAAAGATTAAAAAAAAAAAACAAAAGAGAGACAGAGAAATAATAATATTTAGAATAGAAATGAAGCAGAGAATATGAATAAAATAAAAGAAGATTATTGAAGAAAGAAGAGAATAAGCCTATGACATAAAAGTAAATAATCAAGAACTATTTAACGAAAAGAGTACAGATGATACATTAAAAGTGAAACACAAAATTACAAAATAAATAGTTATTGAAATAGGGAACCAAAATAAGCGAAGAAATTATGCATTTAAATAAAATGATCAAATGAAAATAGTGTAATATATTTTTTGAATAATGGAATATTCTGTTTTCTATTATTTTCTCTTAAAATTATAAAATATAAAATAAAATAAAAAGTAGGTAAAATACAAATTCTATATCAATCAGTCGACATTTTGTAATTCTTGTTGGTTTAAGTATGATGTATCTTGATTTGAGTATATTCATTCATAATTCTGTTCTTTTTATATTATTCTTTATTTCATTTACCTTCAATTCTATTTTAATGTGAAAATATCATTATGAAAAATAATAAAGAAGAGTATTATGTTAATTCAAATTTATAATGTTATTTATGAATATCAATGATTACATAAATATGAATATCCATCGTATTGTTATTAATGTGTAAATATGTTATATTTCATTTATCACATTGATGAGATGTCATAATGATATGTTAACAGATGTTATTATTTATTTATTTAAATGATATAATTATTGATATGAAAATTAAATTATATCATAGATGATTATCAATGATGAATGATGATAATATACAATGTAAATTATTTATATTATCATATCAAACAAGAGATAAATGATGAAACAAATAAAAAGATAATAAATAAGAAGTATCAATGAAATGATGATATGATAATAACAAATTGAATAATTTAAACATCAACACACTAATATAGAATGAAGAATGACTATTTAATATGTATTATAAATTAAACATTTATAAATAATAATAATGAATTTAATGTTCATCTTCAACTTTCATTCATGATAATAACTCATTAATTTTATCATTAATCATTATATTTATTTTCTTATTATTTTCTTTATTCTTTCTTTTATCATTTTATATTTATTTCAATTTCAATTTCATCAACAGATATATTCATTTAATACAGAAATCGAAATAGAAAGATATAACTAAATATACAAAATCTTATTCTCATATTTAATCACAAATATTTTCATCTAATAATATTTTCTACTATTTTTTTACCTTTTAATCATTTAACAAGAAATATTTTGCATTATGATAATTCATTTCAATGATCTAACAAACATAAACATCATGTTTTAAACAAACAATGAATACATTCATTACATTTAGACACTATTTCTGAAATAATTAACAAGTTCACAAATCATTATAATAATATAATGATGAATACGAATAAAATGCATAATTTCATGACCATTGAAATATATTATATAAAGAAAATACAAACACAATTCTAAGAAAATATTCATTTCTTATTTGATTATTATCGTTAATCAGTTATTTTATTAAATAAAAGATTATGTTCATTTATATATTATTTATTATTTATTTGTTGTTATTTATTATATTTATATTTCGTTTTTATTTTAACTGTTTGTTAATTATTTTTTTTTAATTTATGGTTATCAAATAATATCATTATTTAATTTAGATTTCATTTGTATTTTTATCATAATTAATAGTAATTGTAATGATGAATTAAAATGTCAATATATCAATTATTCATACAATGAATTATATTATCATTATTGATATAATTATATTTATTTTAAAATAAATATAATTGAAATATTATAATTAAATATGAAAATGTTAAGAAATAATGAACAGATATTAGAAATATAAATAATAATAATAATGAAGATGATATTATTAGTTAAATATATTTCTTTATTATGGTTATAAATATAAAATAATAAATACAATGATAATATAAATGAAATATATGTCAATTAATATTTAATCAAATAGAAAATGATGATATAATAATTAATCAATGAAAATAATATTAATAAAAGAAAATAAAGAATAAAGAGTATAAAGATAAAGAGTGTAAGAGAAAATAAATAAAATAAAATAATAATATAAATAAAAATAAAATAATATTTTAATTTTATTATTTATTATATTAATACTATTATATTTAACTATTTCATTATTAATTTCATTATAATTTATTATTATTATTTAAACTACTTCATTATAATATTTAATTTTATTATTATTTCTTTATATTTTATACCTTTCATACATATCACATTACTATATCATTAGTTATATAATAATGATATCTGTCTCATTTATAACTTCTGTTTGATGAAATTTCTAAATAAACCAACATCAGAGACAATCAACCATTTATTTTGACTCAGACATTTTACTTAATTTTTTCATTGATAATTATAAAAAACTATTTGTTATTAACTTCAACATTAAAATATTCCAATTTTAATAAAACTATCATGTTAGTTAAATAATTAATATAACCACTATTCCAATAAGGGAGAGAATAGGTAATGGTGCACTATCTATGCTATCTTTTGAATCATCTTCTGAATGAGTTTTAGAATTTCCATCTGAATGAGCACTAGAACTATCTTCTGAGTGTCCCTTTGATCCATCTTCAGAGTGGTTCATCGACTTTTCATCGGATTGACTCTTAGAATCATCTTCTTTATTCTTAGATTCTTCTGAATTATTGTTTGAAGTATCTTCTGATTGACCATTATTATTTGAACTACTTTCTTTATTATTAGATCCTTCTGAATAGTCATTTGATTTTCCATCAGAACGATCATCAGAACTATTTTCTTGATTCGTAGTCTTATTTCCACATTTATATGTAGTTCCATTTTCACATACCCCACATTTCTATAATTCTACACTGTAAACTTTTCCTTTTTCATCACACTTACTATTAGAATAAGTGTTTCCATACATCGTTTCATTTTCTACCTTGTACATACAATAAGCTTCATCATTTTCATTACATTTACCACATGTGCCTATTACATAAGTCAAATACATATTATTTTTGTGTGTGCACATATCGTCATCAATACCATCAGTAAGATATCCAACATAATCTGGTATTTCTTTAATTTCAATAGTACATATATCTCTGTTAAAACAAAACTTTTTAAACTCTTCACTATTAATATCAACTGTATTCTCTTCTTTATCTCCAGTACATGTTGATGATTTAGTATAATGTGAAATTGTAATATTATTACCATTATGAATATAATAATCTGAAGTTACTGATCCTGTATAGTAACATTTGCCAAAGTCAATAGTTTTAAATACGATAGCATTTCCTTCAGTACTTTTTATTATAGTAATGACTATTGATTCAGACATTACAATGCCAAATAAAAAACAAATAAACAATATACTCATCAATTGTATTTCTCATTTATTTGTTTCATTTAAATATTATTAATCTTTCTTCGTACTTTCTCTTTTTTTATTTTTTGTATATTAAATTCTTCATGAGTTCTATGTATTTTATTACATTTTTGGTAATTAAAAAAACTAAATTTAAAAAGACTATTTTAATTGTTTAATATCAATAAAAATATTCATCCAAATTCTAATATTTTTAATTTCTTTTCACTCAAATCTGACATTCTTGACACTTATTTATTCTTCTATCTACTTCTATTAATTTCTTCTTTTATTCGTTTCATTCTTAAAATCTTTTCTTGAATGAGAACCATCTAACATAGTTCTTAAGCTACTAATAACTTTGAATGAAGAAATAAATTATGATATTTTCATTTAATTTAAGTAGTACTGTTTTATTTTATAGAAATATATGGTACTGTGAAAAATAATCAAATTATCTACTCTATTTGTTTTGAGTTATTTTAAATAGGTAAATTGTCATAATGAGAAGATGTTAATAAAACCGTTATTTTAAACACTTTCATTTTCTACAAATTAATGTTTTAAACTTTATAACACGAGTGAATAAATTTTTCATTTTCACTATATCTTATTATGTTGTTATTTTAATAAATTATTTGAAATAAAGATTTATTATTTATGTATTTATTACTCTTTTTGGTAGTTATACTTGAGAATATTTTCAGTTATTATAATGAAAAATAATGAAAATATAATAAAAAAGAATAAAAACATTTCAATTAACATAACCAATAGAATGAATGATTATAAATTAATAAATTATATTTTGATTTTATTGTCTTTATTATACTAGCGTATTAATGTATTAATACCATTTAATATATAACCAAGTATAACTTCTCATTCTTGACACCTTTTTTGATACATTTATATTTTTATTTTCTTCTTCATTTTCTTTTTGGCTTGCTATTTTTATTTATTGGTTATTTGTTCTTCAACAAGATATTATAATATTATCTATATATTTAAAATATGAAATTAAACATTTATTCTTATTATATTAACACATTATCATTCTATCATTCTATTAGATTATTTATTTTCTTCTCTTCTTATTATAATTTCTCTTGTTTTTCTTCTTTTATTTCATTTAAACG